AGCCACTGTAGAAATAGCTCCAGGCTCCTGGGACAGTCATACATGTTCCTCATACAAAGTTACATTTATAGTTATTGCGGCAAAGATTCATCAAATTTGTATCTTTCTGATATATATGTAAAGTGTTAAACCTCCCAATAGTGTCACCTCGTGTGACTAACATCCTACCATTAGTGACATGAAAATGAAGAATCATTAGTTTATAATGGATAATTCTATCCTATAATAACAGTATGACTTTTGTTAATAATGTCATTAGTTTTTTCAATAGTGACGATGTTGAGCTCTAATAGCTATTTTAATTGCCAAAAGTCTCTGTTAAGAGTTAAAAGTCTTTGTTCAGAGCTTGCTGATTGACCTATCTCTACATTTAAGAGTTCAACTCTCGGCTGGTATGAACGTTTCTTCTCTGTGCTTACAGTCTTCTCAGTTCTTGAATCCGTGTCACAGACCGAATGATGTGGACGAAGAGGAAAGTAATATAGACGAAGTTTTTGATATGGCATTCAAAGAGCTGAAGGAAGAAGAATTGTATTACAATACCATTACAAGATGTAGAAGACGATGTACGAGGTGGTACTCTATACGGGTTCTTGATCACCTCTATGAGAAACATCTTCTGATGGTGTGGAGTGCTTGGCCACCTCTATGAGAAACATCTTCTGATAGTGTGGAGTGATGTGGCTTTGGGCAAGCTCTCTCAACCTCAACTGGATCTGCGCAAGGTACTAGAGCTAGTTGCCACTTTTCCGACGTCACTTTGGTCGACTTAGACACATCCATGCTTTCTGCACACCTCGCTTGATCTTGAATTTCATCCGACATAGGCTTCACTCCATCTGAGCCATACTTGAAAGACTCGATCAACAAAATTGTGTGTCTTGCCAATGTGTGAATCAAAACATCTCAATAGAAACTCATTGCTATCTAGTGGCGACATTTAACTTATTATTGGATGGAGTGATGTAAGTATTTATGGACTGATCTTTGCATAATTTGTGAGGCATGTCAATACACATACTCTCTGGAATTTCCAAGTGAGAAAGTAACTTTTCATGAAATGATGATCAAATCTGTGTGTTATGAATAAAAATTCTCTCCCATCATTTTAGTCAAAACGAAGAATTTCACAGCATCTTTGTAGTCCCCTGCTCTCAGCTATCTATATGCACGTCTGCATTAATTGTTACATCTAGGCCAAGATCCAACGTTCATTGAAGTAAGTTTCATAATTTTGTTGCACCTTATCTAACTATCTTCCTAAGATGAAACTATGTTCCTGTTTCTTTAAGAAGAATTTATTTAGTACATGCATCATTAATGACCAGAAACAAAAACTTGCAATTTTATACAACTTCTAATTGCCCTGGTCATGACAACAAGGAACAGTTGGAGGCGCATGGCTCTTGAGAATTTCAAAATTGAGCTGTTTTCCATATTTTATGTCAATCAAGCGCATTTATTTATGGTAGCTGCACTATTAAGATTTGCGAAGGTTGCCATCTTGCGCTTGACATAGACTTGGTGCTTTATGTACTTATTGCTGAGCCCTTGTCACCAATAATTCAGACATGAAATTACATCCATCTAGTCTTTCATTATTAATCAGACAAGTGAAAACACAAAAAGAAAATATTCATGGAAAAAATCTCAAGTACTAAATTTCCATAATCACAAGCATTGTCTTCTAGTATTCTTCTCATTATGACTTTGAGTCAAAATGTTAGCATCTCGATATTCTTGACTATGTTGTACATAAAGTTTCATGGAGTTTCAGACGACTTAATAGTTAGCAAGCAAGGTATATGGAAGCCAACACTACACACAAACTTGCAAACAATCTCCATAAATCGATTGATGATACTCAATCTGGATTTGAAATACAAAAACTCCATCCAAAATAAATTTAGCATTGAGGATACTTTTAACCGTAGAAAAGCTGGGTGGAAAACTTGACAGAGAATCGGTTGGCACAATGGCCAATTCCAGCAAATTTTGGCCATTCGCGGAGGCCTGCGGTGATTCCGACAGCTGTGTATCGATACTTTTGATGAATTATGTGGTTTTCTATCCTAGAAATCTTCCTCACATACATCTAGCAATCAACGCACACAACTAATACCATGTGTTAAACTCAAGAGAGAAAAATTTAGATCTGCATAAAACTTTCTCAACCCTGAACTAATCCACCGTATACTAAACTCAAAAAGTCAATCGAATGAAAGCCAATGCGAATTTCTCAATCAAATGTAAGCCAATGCGTTTGCAATGGTCTTGTTTCGCAACAGCGTCTCGTAAGTTTATTTGGTTTCACTATAGATCAAAATGTCATATTTTAGTTTTCTTAGTTTTGAATTTTGTATAATTCTTCAAATGTGATCAAGTTTAGTGAATATTTAGGGAATTTAGGTGGATTTTGATTCTTTACTTGAATTCAAGATTCAAAATCAAAAAAAAATTTGAACATATTATAGAAAATAATCTAAATTAAATATCCTACATATAAACTCAAATTATGCATCAGCCTAAATTAGATTAGATATGTTTCAATTTAGAAAAGGAAATTCAGAAAAATATTGAATTGAGGTTGAACTTAAATTACTTTTGTGAAATAACATGAATGATTTTGTTTTGAGTTTTTTGAGATCCATTCATAAAAATGAATAAAATTCTAAGAAAAAGGTAGCTTAAATTTTTTGCTCAATTCATTTATTTTTAAATATTCAAATATTAAAATATATTATTATATTATTGGGAAAAATTGACAATAAAAATAATTGAATCATAGCACAATAAAAACTAAAATTTGAAATGTGCAACAAGATTGATATATACGTACATATCTTTTTGTAAAATATGCAAATACTGTGCAAAGTGTTAGAATAAATCATACAGAATTTAAATATTTCATAATATGACATTTCATTAAAGATGTCTAAATCAAACAAATAGTTAAAACTAAATAATCCAAAGATAAGGTAAAAGGTTTGTAGAATACATAATTGATCTTTGAATTGAAAAACATTGCATGGCATCAATTGTGTAAAGTCTCCGATCTATTTTATGACTACAGTTATTCAAAATATGTATAATACTCCGTTTGATTTACAAACATTGCATGCATCAATTTTGTAAAGTCTCCGATTTATTTTATGAATTAAAGTTATTCAAAATATGAATAATACTCCGTTTGATTTACAAATTCATTATTACTTTTGAGTTTTTTTGTCATATTTCAATTTTCGATTATGAAACAAGCAAACATGTTTCGAATTTGTAAATGCAATTTCATGAATCATAAATAGCTGTCATTCTGCGTTGGATCAAGGGATGTTTTAAGGATTACGAAATAAATCAATCAAAAATTATATTTGTGAGAAAATTTATATAAACCCTTCAATATTATTAATCATATACAAATTACCGTAAAATCTTTAGAGACAAATTTGGTTGAATCTGTTCTTGCAAAAATTCCATGTTTGATTAGATTAAACTTTGCAATTTATGAGTAGATTAACATTTTCTGAATCCACTATCATATTAATCTACTTTTCATTGAAAATTTTCATGATTTTACAACTTTATACACCAATCTTTAGACTTTTCAATAAAACAATGAATAATTATGAGCTATGATACAAAATTTTACTCTATTTCATTGACATTCATAAGTGTTCTAAATCTCAACATTTCAAACACGTCATCATTCATAAGAATATGACTGTCATGGAAAACCTTCGTAGGTGTACAGAACAAAACCTCTTGGTTAAATCGCAGGCTGCAGGTCTCTGGTGCGGATTTTATGGTAACGCAAAATGGTCGGTGCTCTCTTCAGTTGCAACTCCTCGTTGTTGCTGACCACCATGTCGTTGAATCTAGCTTTAATGCCATGGATTGAGCTTGGTCCGGCATGGAATCATACCTTTGCGTAGATTACAGCTCCTTCAAGATTTAGATCTTAGATTCACGATAGAATCGCCTCCTTCGATAGGACTTCAACAAAAGGTTTTATGAAAAACATTAGAACCTCCTAAGCCTATTGCCGCTGCTGTGACTACTGGCTCTGGACCATAAAGCATGTAAATAGTTCAGATCAATAAGCGATACAATCTCATAAACATATACAATTTGCTCAAAGACACTCATATTAAACTTCATCAGCATGCAATGGAGAAGAAACAGTAAGTTTCAAGCTTAATATATTCCACTATCGGGATGGATTGACTTGCAACATGACAAAGCAATACAATTTATTATTTGAATTTTGGTAAACATGACAACTTGCTCCAGGTCAACCCACAACTTCTCCGGTCACATTCCAGTAGAAAAGCACACGGTTTCTCTAAGGGACCAAGGCAGAATTCGAGGGAAGAAGGTAGACTTCATGACCACTTCTTTTAAGCTAGGAATTATACATTCAACATGTGTCATTCGGATGTTTGAAAAGAATGAAATATTTCACAGTGTGATGCTATTCGGAGGTAGTCCCACGTTACCACTTTGGTTTCATCCATAGATGCCTCGATGGAACTTCAGATATTTTTTTTTTCACGGCGCTAGTAGTACACAGCTGCGAATTTAATTGCGCTCCATGTACTGAGCGAAGCGCTTATCATTAACGCTCCCAAATTCTGGGATTTTGTTAAGAAATCCCAGAATTAGCCCAAATTAGATCTGTCTGCATATAAATTAATTACGTCATGATCACAAATTTACCTTTGCCACAAGTAGGATTATGAAACGTTTTCTTCCTTGGTAAATATCCGAGAATCACACGTGAAGAATTATGTAAAACAAAGCAAAACCAAATTCATAATGTGATAAAGGTACATATGAACTCTACTTATTGACAATTCCCAAAATTAAGACCAGTAACATATATAATTTAAGCTAAATTGGTTAGTTATGGTAATTCCAGGCTTTACGAGGCCTGGATTAACTGGATGAGAACCATATCTTTGGGCGTGGTGGAGTAGTTTGCGTTCCTTCGTCATGGGAAAGAAGGGGAGAGAGGGAAGAGATGGTCGACTGACGTCGAACGAAATCGAAGTCGGATGAGATAAGCAGCAAGCACACGAAGGGCCGACGAGTGACAGAGGAGTGACAGAGGAGAGTCCATCCCTTGGGGGTTTTGGTGTGGAGGCAGAGGCGACGCCAGCCCCCTCGGGGTTTTGGCAGGTTCTCGAGTCATGGCTTGCTCGCAGCGTGTTCTGTGCGCTGTGCCAGGATTGAGTTCTCCAGCCAGGGGAATGGCTATGGCGCTTTCGTCTTCATGTGGGTTTAGTTTGTACGGCGGAACTCGCCACCTTCCGTCTTGCAGTCGAGGCACGAGGTTTAGTGCAAGAAGATGCGGTTCTCGTGTTCAGACTCTCGCTACACTGACGCAGGAAAGTGAGAAGAAGGTTGCAGGAGGTGGTGGCAAGTCTCAGGGTCAGCAGCAAGGTCAAAATCAAAAGCGGATTGGAGAAGCTGTCACCCCGAGGAGTCAAGATTTTAGTAAATGGTACTTGGATGTAATTGCTCACGCAGAACTTGCCGACTATGGCCCTGTCCGCGGGACTATGGTTATTCGCCCATATGGCTACGCTATATGGGAAGCAATTCAGGTTTGCTTCTGCTACTGAAATTTGAGATTCTGGTGCAATGCAGGCGGCTAAGATAGTGTCACCGTCGGATTCCTCGTCAGGGGCTTCATTATGCTAAGAGAAGCACTGGTTTTTCCTAGATTTCGGGACTTAAAGAAAATTAGTTGAGCGGAATGTTGAATTAAATTTGTATTCAAAAGCTCGTGCGTTTGTGACATGAGGCATCTTCAGGATCTTACTTTGTTGGTGTTGATGGTTGTCATCAATTCTCATGAATTTGCAGAGGTGGTTAGATGCTCGATTCAAGGAGACTGGTCATTCCAACATGTACTTTCCTCAGGTAAGATATGTTGCTACTCGAATTCAGACGCTGTGTAGAAAGCGGTGCACTCTCTACGATATTATTGTATTCTGTGCCGAAACACCACCACTCTTAATATGAACTCCGTAAATATTCATTAACTCGTGAAGTCTTCCTTCTTAATTGTCAGCTCATTCCATACTCTTTCATCGAGAAAGAAGCGAGTCATGTAGAAGGGTTCAGCCCAGAACTTGCGCTTGTGACTATTGGTGGAGGCAAAGAGCTGGAGGAAAGGCTGGTGGTAAGTGAGAAATCTAATGTCGTTCTCTAGGCCCTCTTATTTCTGGTCAATGGCGTCGTTTACTTGATCGTGAATACTCCGGGCAAGAGAAACTGCTCAAATTTTGAGAATCGCAATTGCAATGGGCAGAGTTTTTCAACCAGTGTAAGCGATCTTTTGGCAGGTATCTGACTGAAATGATTGGAGGGTGAACCTGCGTGTTGAGCAGGTGCGGCCAACTAGTGAAACGATTGTCAACCATATGTTCGCTCAGTGGGTGCATAGTCATCGAGATCTTCCGATCCTAATCAATCAGGTCTGTCCTTTTTATATCAGTGTGTATTCCTTTCACTTGAAATCAGCATACCTTTGACTCCTCTTTATTCTCTTTAGTCTCCACATATTCTGAATGAGGTAGTTCTAAGAATGCAGAGTCAATTCAGCAGCACTTTCCTTATTGTTCACTATTGGAAAAGTGGCATACATGCAAGTTGTTCTTCCCTTCTATGTCACCAACAGACACGAACTCGTGGATGATTGACCTCTATCAGTGGGCTAATGTACACCGCTGGGAGATGCGAACGAGACCGTTTGTTAGGACCCTGGAGTTTCTATGGCAGGAGGGTCACACTGCCCATACAACTCCGGAAGAAGCGGAGGCTGAGGTTACACATTACTTATCTCTAATTTCGGTGTTATTGTTAAAATTGCATTATGATTCACAAAACCTTCTTTACGCAACGTTGTAAAGCATTCGGTGCTTCCGTACCTTGGTCAAGCATCTGAAGATATGTGATGTTTGCATCAGGCTCTACAAATGATCAAGGTCTACGAGACATTTGCCATTGAAGAAGCAGCTATCCCTGTTGTGACGGGTCGTAAATCGAAGCTAGAAACTTTTGCTGGAGCAGTGCATACATATACAATAGAAGCCATGATGGGTGACAAGCGAGCACTACAAGCTGGAACTAGTCACAACCTTGGCCAGAACTTTGCCCGTGCCTTTGGTACCCAGGTACGCAATATAGTGTCCTTGAAAAATTGCTTGTAGTTGCAACTGTAGTAGCAGGAGCTTGAGATTATTGCGCAAATCGTGGCTAGTCTCTGAAACGTGAAGGTGATTTTGACTGCAGTTTACCGATGAGAAGGGAGATATGGAGTATGTATGGCAAACATCATGGGGTATGAGCACAAGGATGGTAGGGGGGATTATCATGACCCACGGGGACGACACGGGACTTATGTTTCCTCCCCGAGTTGCCCCAATTCAGGTTGAGATCTATTCCTATGTGTGAATTTAATGAATCTTATTTTCTGATGAATTTCTTGATTCAACATGAGCATCTGAAAATTCATTGAATGTGACGTTTATTTAAATCGTTGAAAAGATATTAGGCTCTCAAATTCCCATCATGATCGTTCGGAGACCTTTATTTTAACAAAGTAGTCTTGTAAAGCACGGCCAAAACTTCTGAAAAATGTGCTTTTGATGCTTCTTACTACTGTAGTCTCCATCATCAGCTACTCCCTCCCGAGACATTTTGATCTGGACATTTCATGCCGCTCTGAATAACAATCTGAAGAACACATGCCCAGGTTGTGATTGTCCCAATTTGGAAGTCTGCACCAGAGAAGGAGATGGTTCTTGACATTGCGGGTCAGGTCCATGACTCACTAAAAGCTGCCTCCGTTCGAGTGAAGTTGGATGCTTCAGACCAAAAGACGCCTGGATGGAAGTACAATCATTGGGAGATGAAGGTGGGACCTTTGAACAGAATGTGAAGTATGATGATTTTGTACAGCTTCCTGTTCCTTTTAGTATGAACTTGGCGTTTCTAGCTACATTATGATCCATTGAGAGAGCAAGACAATTGTGGAGTTAATACAAGACGTGTTGCGTGATGAAATCAGGGAGTACCCATAAGGATTGAAATCGGCCCGAGAGACGTACAGAAAAAAGCTGTTGTCGTTGCCAGACGAGATGTTCCTGGCAAGGAGGGCAAAACGTTTGGAGTATCCATTGAAGGATTAGATGAGTATGTTAAGGACCTATTGCAGCAAATTCAAGATAGCCTTCTGGCCAAAGCGACCGCGTTTCGAGACAGGTCAGTTCTGGTCGGTTTTTTACTTTGAGATTGGCAAATACCAATAAAAACGTTTATCATCCCTGAGAGTATAGAATCCACTGGATATCAGTAGAGCCTCCTCGCTGATGTTTTTCTCGGAATGGAACGTTTATGGGATAAACAACCGCATCTGCAAAATTATCAATACCTTCAGTGAGATCGTGCTATGCCTAGGTGCCATTTACTTGCGAGGCACGTTTGAGAAGCTGACCTCGGCTTCTATCATGTTCAGTAATATCGTTGATGTCACCTCATACGAAGAGCTGAAGGCAGCCATTTCAGAGGGCAAGTGGGCTCGAGGTTACTGGTCTGGGAGGTGCGGAATCTTCTACCTTTCATGTTATTTTCATTGGCTTGAAAGGTCCCAACGCGCTTGCGTTTAGTGCGCAGTTTTGGACGTCCTAGACTTAGGTCATGTTTTTTTCACCGGCCAGGTTATAGTTACTGGCTTTAGATTGGAAGAGAAGAAGGGTCTGGGCACTTACAAGTTTTGAGCGTGTTGGATCCAATCGTATGCAGCGATCAAGATGAAGCGTTGGTGAAAGAGCAGACTGGAGCAACAATTCGTTGTTTCCCCTTTGATCAACCAACGGCCGCGGGTAACTGTTTGATGACTGGAAACTCTGCTAATGAGATTACCATCTTTGCTAAATCTTACTGAAGGGGTAGCTCTCGAATTTGTTCTCTCTCCTGCGACAAAGTTTTAGATAGAAATTACACTCCGGGAGAAAGTTTATATAGTCATTCTTTCGTTAGATCGTCATCGATAAAATGAATTCACTTTGTGAACCTGCGTCGTTTATTCATGTACATGAAATGCTTTTGAAAATGAAGTGGAGAATCACATATGCCGATCAAGTCAGTCATCATTCTTACACCACCAACCATATTCTTGGTATCATTCTTACACCACCAAAGTTACATATTCTCAATATTCTTAGTGTCCTCTGCTTATTAAAGCTGATACGTCCGTACACAATATTGTTGTTGCGGCTGATCCAACTTGCCGTAGTGTATGCAACGGGCTTGGGTTCACACGGGCATGAATCATTATGTCATCACTGCTACAGTAAGAAAACATTTCATTTTCTCACTATGAAACAAAATCTGCTAAAGACGGTCGTTTACAAGTTCTGCTTGACGAGTCCAATTACACGGGATCAAAAGCACACCATGATTCATACTTGTTCCCATGACGATTTTATTACAACACTGTACTCACCTGATACACTCAGACAAGGTTTCCGGGCTTGGCCCAACACAATAGCCGTTCCAACAATGCACGGAACTAATTTCGAAGGTGCACGACAAATATGGCTTTGACAACCGAAGACTATGTAAAGTTTCTACAGAAGAAAGGCGATCAAACTCAGACGAAATGAGAAAGTTGGAAGAAATATGATGTAATTTTGAAAAAAATTGGTTCGTAACAATTGCATGATTTAAACTAAACCGGTCTAAAGCTTTGAGCATAGAATGTGAAGCGAACAATGAAATTAGAAGTTAGTTGTATATATTGCTGTTTTCTAAAAACAGCCACGAGAGGGTAGAAGTCTACATGTTGGAATTTGGTAGATACTCGAATTCAAGAATAATAATGCCAGTTCTAACTTTAAGATTGTTGCTCATAGTAGTGGCACGAAAAGACAAGTACGATCGAATACATCGACTAGTATGTGGAAACTTCGTCTAGAAGAGACACGTATGTATTAACTATCACATCAAAATACTATAGCGTATGGTACTTTTTACTTGTGGAACATTCATGTTTTATATCTCAATGAAGCAAATATAGTGGTAGACACTGCTTCTTGCTAGTGTATACATTATATGAGACTCTCACGGGACGAAACTCAATTTTCACGACAAACTTGAATTTCAGAAAATGAGTTAAAATGTGTATAGAATTGTTTTGTTTTCGGCTTGGTATCTACATGAATTTTGCTTGAGAAAATTTTTTCTGATGGTATGAAAACTGAATTCGCACCTTATTGTAAATGATCTTAGTCAACATATACTTTGGCTAAGAGACTCATTGCAAAAAACACAAAACAAGTTAGAAAGGACATCATTTCGAGGTTATTTTCAATAAGCTTCAATTTGATATATAAATTATGATGCTAACCAAATTCGTATTTGAAATTTTCTCTATAATTTTATACCAATTACAAAGATGTCATCATCTAAACATATAGATATTACAAGCTACGTAGTTTATATTTTTTTTCTATCATCTATGGATTTTTATTGCAATGATTCATATGAATATTATTAGTAGATAAAAACTATTTGAAGTATAAGAAAAATATTTTCTGCCTGCATCCCGACTGGAAAAGAACTGACACAAAGGAGAACCACAACGATAAGCAGAAGCGGTCGTTGCTCACTGCTCGATACGATGTCGAAGAGCAGAGTACATTGAGTGAAATCGGGAGCAGCAATATGAACAGAATTGCGGAGCTGGAAGATTGCTCTTGAACACACATGCCGGAGCAAAACAAGACACGGCCCTGCCCATCGTTGGCTCCGCGAAGGCAACGACTGGCTCATAGCTCGTCGTGCATCAGCTGTTAGCGTGCGCCGAGGAAGTGGGAGACGATGTCTTGGACCTCGCCAAAGTGATGCTAGCTAGTCTTGAAGACCATGTCCTTCCGGATCCCAATCCAGGTCCAGAAATTATGCGGTCTGGAGCTGAATGGGAATTGCAAATCTCGACTAAGCGTTGAGGATTTCTGAATCTCGGGGACATGGTGTTTCCCGATTATAACTAGAGACTGAATCTTCAAGTTCAACGGCCGATCCTGTGAAGGTTTGTGAGTTGAGACATCAGATGAAGTTTAGAAGTTACCGGAGTTTCTGGCTTAGGTAGAATCTCTTGTAAGCTAGATGCATTTAGGTGAAAAGATCTTACATTGAGAACTCAGAGATGTCTTTCACGAAAATTCTGATTCTGGTGTACTCAACAACATCAGTACGTCAGCCTAGAGCAGCCACTCTGAACTAGCAAACCGAATAGCCATCCTTCAGGAAAAGTCTTCAAAACTCCGAGAATAAGCTGAACTGTTCATAAAACTGTTGAGTTAGTTCAGATATGATAGAAAAGTTGATTGGCTGTGGACGCGTCGCGTACTTCAGGTTGACCTGCACTTCAAGATGCAGTTCTTAGCATGGGCCCAATTGTGTGAAGCTTAACTCTAAAATTTATTCAACGAGTCATGCCTATTCAGAAATTACTTTGAAGCTGTGAAAAGAAAACACAACTCACTACGTGCCTCGGACAATATCTATTTACTCAGAGCACATATCTATCAACAGAATCTTGCAACCACATACAGGATAAGAGTAAAGTTTCAGTAGTCGCATGTTGAGCGCTGAAGCTGCATTTCGAGAAATTCGGGGTCCAAGATAGATATCCTGGAGATTTTCCAAGCATGAAGGAAATGGCGAGGATGGATTGTTCCCAAGATAGCTCCTACTTATCAGCAATGCAGCTGTGCTGTAATGATCCCTGTAGCTAAAAAGTTTTATTTGTTCACGTTGTCCATGCAGCCGATTCTGATCCACTGCAGGATTTCTGCATGGCGGTTATTGCCTCTTGACCAATTGCAAAGGGTTTTCATTGCAAGTTGCCTGCTCTCGATACACCGAAGACCTTGCATTCTCTGGGCTTGTTGAAGCTCCAGATTCCGCGAGAGTTTCTACTGACGGAACCGCAACCCTTACCTTCGTCAGTCATTGGCCGGATCTTAACAGTCGTAGGATGTCTTTCCTACGGGCTGGACATCGTCACTCGTCACATCCACAATTTGGCCCACTGAGTTTCTTACGTGGTAGAAGGAGATCTATACACCGGCCTCGTTACCAACAAGTTGTATGCGAAGATCAGGAGAGAAGGAGAGGCTTTTATTTTTCCTAGAGTTCTGCTTCACTCTCAGCTCAACAAGTTGAAGGTGGCTGCATCGAGTCTGAACTTCTTGAACCGTCAAAATCCTGGTGCCTTAAGCTATGTTCGGGAGTGGTATCGACAGTGAAATGCTGGATACAGCATTCTTCATGGACGCGAGTCAAGCAACTTCTTTGGAATCAACTTTACATAAGTGTCATGCTCAAGTTTTTGATTGACAGTCAAAATCCGACGCCTGTTGTTAAGATTTCAAGCGTTGATGTATCTGGCCTATGAGAGTAAAAAAGGATCTTCATTCGCTATAGCAAGGAGTCTGTTCGTCAGCTCTGACAGCTGAGAGTCCTGGGATGCGAAAGCTTTTACCCTAAACCCTTGGAACACGCGCTATATGCGTTCACAGACAAGCATATCTACTTCTGTGGAATTGGAAATATGCTTTTGTACTTTTCAACGCTGCGCATCTGTCCATGTTTGCATCTTTCATCGTCATGTCATGCCTGCCTGATGGAGATATCTCCATCAGGCTTGCTGCATGTCCGAGCAGGTCTCGATCGGAAACTGATCACGGCACAAATTCCAAATCGTTGGATCCAAAGTCCATAAGAAGATGATATTGAGACGTCATATCGGTATTCGGGGGCCAAATATACAGCAAGAAGATGGAAAGTAGCCATTTACGACGAAGTGTATATCTAGATTCAGGCGGTGCACGGAGGCACGCTCTACTTTGACGGGACAGACAGAGATTGGAACTGGAAAAATTGGATATGAAAACGTAATTCGATCGAGCCATGTTTCCCAGTCCCAGAAGTCTACCGTCCCCGTCAGAAGTCTACCGTCCCCGTCTCTTAGCTCCATGTGCACTCTGCTCAACCAGGATTTCAACAGACCCTTGCCACTAGCAGAATTTCTCCACCTCTTACGAATAACGGTGTAAATTTGTACCATATACCATATTGCCATACAAGAGTGAAAGAATGATATGTATGAATCCTTGTATCTCAGTATTTATACTCCCAACAACAAGGATAGAGATCTATCTATCTATATCCTTGTTGGGATAGAGATAGATAGATGGCATAAATCTAGTGGAGTCTCCAAAATCATCATGTGTGCGTAAGGAATCCAGTTGACTATATCGGACATTAGATTGGTGTGACTCGAAATAGGGAGGCTCTGCATGAAAAATGATTTCACTATTCTGAAGATTCCTGACATATATTTATTTAATCATGGTAGTATAGCATGAGTCGGACTTACGCAGAGCACCTCAAGCAGGGTCGGTACTGCTCCTGACCAAAATAATACCTTAGAGCTTGATTATTGGCGCTAATCTAACATGCATGGCGGAAATATAGAAAAAAGCTTCTGGATTTACGAAGATCCTATTGAAAAATCAGGGGTTTTGGTCCTGCTCGTTTGGCGGAGATGAAATAGTTCCACGTTAAGTCATTGAACGGACCGATTAATTCGATAATTGGATGCATAGAGAGTAAATATTATTATTATGGGTTAGTGGAAGAGAGTGCATAGTGGAGTTAATAGGTTCATAATCTTCCACTATGCACGGACCCCAACTTCTAAATTGCAGCCTATGAACAGATTAAGTTCGAGGAGGGGGTGAGCAAAGGGAATTCCTCCATTTGCCTTCGTCTCCTCAAAAGTCTAGATTAGCTTCGTTCGGAATAAACCAGACTTTGTAAAATCTGCAAATCCCAGGTTTGCTAGAATTACTTTAATTCTAGCAAACCTGGCATTGCCAAAAATTTCTTTTCAATTCTGGCATTTTTGGCATTAACATTGTAATTTCATTACTTTTCGTATGAGAGTTGGGCCATGATAGTTCTCAGGTGATCGTAAATTTCATGAGATTAGATTGTATAAGTATAAACAAATGTCCATAGCACTAATTTTTTTTCTTCTTTTGCACAGAGTTTATCAAATTTCAAC